TCTTTCCCTAATTGAAAGACTAATACGAGGAAGAAATATCGAAATATTAAGTTTAGCTCACTGCAGTTTTGAATTGATGAATTTTAAAAGCTTTAAATCAAAGAATGTAATAAGAACAAATTTTCATATGCCCAAAATATTATATTTATGTTACGCTTAGATATTTTGCATGAAGCATCCCTTGTTGACATCTACAAAATTTATATAAATCATGCTCCTGGAATCAATATTGGTCCTGCCCCAGGGGCCTTATTCTTATGTAAAGCCGCAAATTCCATATTTCAATTTTTTGCCATGTAGTATTATATAGAAGAACTCCGCAATTGTTCAAATGATCACTTCACTGATATTGAAAAATGGCTGTGCCCAGTGGGTTGGTGGGTGTCGGTAGGTCTTGTACAGCTATAGTGTCTCGTCCGTACCACTTAATTATCTCGTAACCACGGCTTAGTAAATCGTGGCCACGACATAGTATTTCGTGCCCATGACATTGTATCTCGTTCGCATGACTTAGTAACTCGTGCCTATAACTTAGTAACTTGTTTCCACGACAAAGTATCTTGTTCCCGAGACTTAACTATCTAGTGACCACGACTTAATAACTCCTTGCCACGACTTAGTAACCCGTGACCACGACTGAGAAACGAGAAACTCGTGGCCACGACATAGTATCTCGTTCCCACGACTTAGTATCTCGTGGGCACGAGATAAATAAAAACACACACATGTAGGAAACAATGTAAGCGTGATAGATTTAACTATAACGTTTGAAAATGAACTTTTGTTTAGTTGGATTTAACGTCGCACTAACACAATATAGGTCATATGGAGAATTTCTAGGTTTTACTGATGGATGATAACATTAGGTGCACTCTTTACATTTTTCAGACACAGACGGCCACCTGAAAAGAACCACCGATGTTCCCAAGGCTAGGTTGATAGCTTCCTCACATGTACAATTCGACAACGTTACAATGAAATGCAGTGTAACAGGATAGACTACTTAGATGTCAACATATGTTATATATTAAACATAAAAGTTACTCTAATAATTTCATAACAAAAAAGATAAATATGGATTGATAATTTAAAAAACACTCAAGCGTCCATTCATAATTTTGTTTTATTTTTTCTTAGATTACTTATATTTGTTCATGTGAAAAATGTTATTTAATGATTAAGAAATAATGTTTAACTAGATCGAAATAATCAGTGTACTATCCGGAGGAATTCATAAATAATACGCATCGATGCAAGGAGGTGTCAATTTGGCGTGAAAGTTTACATTATGCACTAAAACACAAAACATACCTTTTGAAGTCTTTGCCATTCCTTTCATTATCTGTTTATATCAATATTGACAAATAGAGATATCGATTATTCTTATATAAAAGCACATTATTACATGATACGTCTTTTTCTTAAAAAAGTGTTCTGCGTTTAATGGTAAACTTAAAAAAAAATATATATTTATATTACCACGCCGCGTTATAATCACGCGGTTGGGGGTAGTGTCGTGATATATAATCACACGGTTGGGGGTAGTGTCGTGATAATCACACGTAAGGTTTTATATACATTCCAAACTTGAATTATATACGATCATTGTATTTCAAAATTAATTCCGCGTCTAATAGTATAACTTTTGCGCGAATGCTATGTGTTCCTTAAACGCTGTAATATATTTAAAAAAAACACATTTTACTGGAATTTTCACCGGGGCTAAGGTTTGCCTAACAGTATGCAAGGCTATATATTTTGCGAAAATGAAGAGCAATACAGAAATCAGTTTACAAAACACCTGTGTATAAAGTACAGTATACAATATTGAAATTATTATATAGAGTGTTCATTGTTGCTATCTATTAATATAAGTGCAGGCTTGTAGTCAGTCATCAAGCAAGACTTACTTACAGCAACATTTGATATGATTTTCATTTTTTTACGGTAAGGTGAACGTTTTGGTTTACACGTAAAAGGAACACGTTACACGCTAAAGAAACAAACATTACACGCAGGCTCTAACCTATGAAATATGCAGAACACAAAACGATACACGCTAAAAGATATAAATGCTAAATGCCCTAAAAGCTAGAACGAACTCAAAAAAGGCCAAATATCTCTTAATTAGATAGGCATATATTACATTGACACCGCCTTTGGCAGAACAATGATCAAATCATCTATATAATAGTCTTTTAAATAGCAGCAAACGAAATCAATGTGACATTTTACACTAAAGAAAAATATGCATTCATCAGACTGGCAGTCCAACACATTTTCAAGACAATAAGATGACAATTACATCCTTGATGTGTCCACTGAAGCCCTATGAATTTAATTTATGCTGTATGAATGCTGTATAATATTTATAATAATATTTCATTTTTCATCCCAAACTGTTATCATACAAAATGAGGTAAGATACTGGACCTCATGAGTTAAAGTTGGGGAGGAGTGTTGTACTCCAAAGATTAGAGAATGTTGATTTACAAAAAAGTGCATCAGATTGCACTATTCATAGCACCAAGTTGAAATTTATGCGGCATGATGCACTTGATATGCTATACATGTATATCAATACTAAATGCCAAAGTTCTTCATTTTTTATGTTTACAATAAAGAATATAATACATTTTTTATCTAGAATGAGCTTCAACTAATCATTATCATTTTGCGTGGACTTTAATAGCAGTCTGTATTTTTTGTGAGACCATATACACTGTGCCAGTGATTTCCTGGTACATATATACAATATAATTATAGACATTTTTTAAAAATATTTAACAATATTGATTCAAGACATTCTAAATCATTGATAATTTATGCAGTCTAGTCAATTTCAAACAGCAATTATAATGAATAGAAATAGAAATATTTATATCAAAGGGTGAGAAAATTATGCAGCCTGACAGAGACTTGAGCCAAAAACCATCAGAATATAACACCTCAGCACTACCAAATGGACCCAGAACCCTTGGAATACCAAGATACCACAGCTCTACGTGATGGAAATAATCCTCAACTTTAATTAAATGTGTCCAAATATTTATTTGTGCACTTTACTGACACAGTTAATAGACTTGGAGTTATATACTGTTAATATATAAAACCCATATAGCCTCATGTTGGACTCTAAAAGTAACAGAGTGAGAATACTGTGAATCCTGACTGGAGCGCAAACCTGGCATGCATTGAATACTATTTCGCAGCCCTATCAACTAAGCTTTAAGGCTTTTTTTGTATGTCTTCTTCTCTAATTATTTAACAGTTTATACAGTGATATCGCTAGCATATTGATAGTTTTCAATAATTTATTTCATGAATACTATTCAGCTATGTATAACATTTTGTGCAAAATAACATTAGATGAGAAAAATGTACCGCTTGACTTGAATCAAAACCTAAATCCTCCGAATACCATATGACGGCTGTACAAACCAATCTAGCTCGCAATCTCTCATTCCCCCCTAATTAGATAAAAGTTAAACCTATACTGTAACAATAATATCTAATTAGCACAAAATTTCCCTGTAAAGTGCAGAACTAATTGTTTAAATATGGGACTGCATCATATGTTAACATTTCTAGCTCAAGTGGAGCAAGTATGATTGGCAGGTATTATAGGGACCTGATGCAGACACACACTCCAAAAATAAAAAATGTAACCCTGGAAATGTGTCTGACATGCATTGTCTCAAGTGAGTGAAACCATGTCATTAATTTATTATATATTACAAACATGGGCATGGAAGTCATAGATATGCAGAAATCCAAACATAAAATTTTATTGATAATAACCCATTATTAAAAGTAAAACAAATAAGAAATATCCCTGTAAAATTACATCATTTAAACATTTGATTAATTGTTTATCCAAAAATCATTATCAGTACCTTCCAATAGGCCTAATCAAACTGAGCCTGCAGCATTTTATAATTTTGTTATTTATGGCAATCTCTTTTGAATTTCAGTTTTTCTTCACTTTAAGGGGAGTAATTCATGTTTAACAAATTGTATGTTCTTTTCCGTCTATCTTAGTCATTAAAGACTAGCAGAAATATGTTGCTTGTATTCTGATGATGAGTATGATGATGGTAGTAATCATGAGCAGATGTGTTTTGAGAGAGTTTATAGGACATAAGAGTCTTGTGATAATTCTAAATGTATTAGATTTAATAAAATATGACTAAAATCATTAACTTTTCATATGCATTGAATTTTTTTATCTTGTTGCATATAATTATACAAAATTGATTAACTTGCATAAGAGATATTGGTGGAGAGACAGTGAAAACACAGTATGTTCCTGTATAATACAGAACACAACTATTGAATTATAGAAATTTACTGTTTACAGTCGGTAGAGTATGGTAAAGAGTAGACAGTGGCATCGATGGGACGCACATAATACAGTATGATAAAATGCCAAATTTAAGGCGATTATAGCCAAATATGGGGCAAAAAAAGAAAATTATTTATTGCCGCATGGAAAAAATTGTTTCCCCGCTCTCAATTTATCTTTATTGTGTTGTCGTAGTTTGAAATGCCGAAATACTGACAAAAGGTAAAAAAGGTGTGAAAAAAGTGTCTTATTCTGTCACTCTTTCATGTTTTTGCTACTTATAACAACCACAATTTTCGCTTGATTTGACCTTGTTTTCGGAGAAATTGGTCATTTTCAACTACGAGACCTTTTTCAGGCTGAAATAAATTTGAAACTATCACAAACTTAGCTGACAGTTTTTTTGGTAATTTCAGTAAATCCAAGTACTTATAAAAAACTTAGGTTAGTATAGGGAAATGATGAATTACATAACACAGTTGATACATATTGGACAGAACAATATGTTTTTGCGGGAAAAGTGACTAGAAATATTCTGTTAAATAAGTGCATTGACAATTTTACTTGGTTGCTTAATTACTTATTTATTAATTCTTTTTGCTATAGGGGATAATGAACTTTTTTTCACAAGTTGATGCTTTAAAATGATACATACTGTATACAGTAGGCTGCATGTATTTTCTCTGGTTGTTGATTGCACATGTCCAATATTTCTGGTCTTCTGATCTATTGAGATTGGTGACTGTAATAGTAATACCACTGCTGCTAGGACTAAATGTATGTCTTGGTATAGCTCCTATACACTGTGATGGAATACATAGTGTTAATGTAGGAGCTGTGCTAATGTCTTGAGGCAAGGAATCTGTCTTATAGACCCTAACAACGTCATTGGTAAACTGTGATACCTCACATACAATCTGTATATCACCTCCTTTCAGAGGTACCTTGCTGTCTTTGATATAAATCTGCTGCACAGTATCTACAAAATTAAATAATTAAATAATTTTATGTAGCAAATAAATAAATTTTTACGGAATTATGAAAACGATCATCGGCATATTTGCTTTTAAGAAAAGATGAAACGCAAATGGTATGTGAGGAGTACTATGAAGAAAGCTTTCTTCATAGTACTCCTCACAGTGATGAAAACGAGATAAATTTTTGTTAATGTCATCAATAATTTACCATTTCGTGCTTTCGCCATTTTGTCATCGTCATTTTCGTGTTTATGTAATCGTTAGTTTGCAATTTCCTGTTTCGCTATTTTTGTCTTCATACTTTCGCCATGGACATGCGCTTAGAGGTACAGGTAACACACATCGCCTTACATATTATTTTCTTAAACGTTCGTTCAGCATATATGTTTTCTACCGATATCTTCTAGTATTATCATCAAAAATGGAAAATGCATAATTAAGACTTATGTAAGAAAAATGGTTTTAAAATGAATGTTTATTGTTATGAGATACGCTTACTTCCGCCATACCAAGTTTAACGATTAGAGTACAGATCTTTTGCACCGGTAAACACCGAATGAACATTATACATTATAAAAAATAATATTAAATGGCGATAAATGGGGAGATAAGTATATCTCTCAATTTTTCAAAATACTCAAATTAAACTAAACTCGACATAATAAATTCAAGTGAAGAAATTAAAAGAAGAACTTTCCGGAATAAAGAAAGAAATTCCAGATTTCCTTTTCCGGGGGTTGTTCTTAGCGTACAATTTTAACAACACATTTATAGATTTTTTCAAAGAGAGGGGGAATATTCCCGCATGTTGAAGTCCTCGAAATCAGCATTTCCGGAATGCAAAAGTTAGCAGGATATAAATCTAAGTATGGAAATAAATTTCAGTATTCCTTCTGTTTGGACTAATAGCAATGTTTACATATGATATGTTACTGTTCATTCTCCGGAAACAGTACGATTGTTCGCAAATTATGGTATAATATTGAATGAATATACATAATGCTTATTTCTCCAGCTAAGAGTTTTTGCTTATTGTTATTTAAGAAATAATATATCCCAAACAGTGATTTTATCGCTCACTAACATTACTGTTTGGAGTTCGGATGCGAGGAATTATATCACAAGGGTGTAGCCCGAGTGATATAATGATGCGCATCCAAGCGACAAACAGGATGTTATCAAGCGATAAAATCACTGATTTTGGACATATTATTTTGATTCTAACACGATATATATCAACACAAAAAATGCTGCCGTACCTGATATTAACTTAAATTTCGCCTGATTTGTTTCCGTACATATTTTCAGCGTGTCACATTTTAAGAGGTTACGTCACGTGTATAATAATTACGCCATATGTCTAAATATAGAACGTCAAACTGTGATTTTATTGCTTAATAACACACACTTTCGGTTCTTCCTTGTTCTATAGGGAAAAATGCGGGTCGTGTTAGAATATGTAGTAAAAAGACAAATATAAACATTTATGAAAAATGTAAAAAGGCTATCTAAAACCTATTTATGTAAGCTAGTAATAACATAAAATTGCAAACACATTCATTTTATTATCAAACACATGTATTTGTTGTACAAAAATGTTTATCCGGTTACATATCTATTTTTTATTTAAAATCTTTTCTTTTTACCCAGCAATTATCTCGAAAAAATAAATAATCAAAAATCAAAATATGAGAAAAACTAGTACCAACAATGCAAGTTGTTTTGAAGAAAAACTATGTAGATGTATAATTCCGTTACAAAAATAATAAAGCTGGAAAAAAATCGACGAAAAATCTCGGCGGGACGCTCTAGTATAGCCCGACTTAAGTGTACGGTCGCCCATATGGGCTTTCCGGCGGCGACCTTAAATAAACGCATAAAAAAAAATAATAATAATAATAGTATTACATTCACCGGGATCTGTTTTCCAATTATCCGTTAATGTAAAATGGGCATACAATGTTGTTTGAATTGGCAAACATGTGTAAGACCATACGAATTTGTTTTTTATCTTAGACACACTGAACCGTTAAACCAACTCTGACAGTACATGTATAGTGTTTGGTTTTTTGAAGATTTTAATTTTCATTTTACTAACCAATAACTTAACAACAGCAGCTCAATCAATTAATAAAGCATATGTGTAATACAAATTGATTACAGTGCAATAAAACATCAATTATTATGGTTAAAATGTAATAAACAAATTAGTATATCAAAACTTTATATATATGAAATAATCTGATTAATTGTTGTCATAAAAAACGTAATGCCGATTTTAATATAATGTTAGTTCAACTGTTTAAACTCTGAGTATAATATCATGAATATATAACCCAGTACAGAAAATTACATCCAGAGTTTATTTCATAAGTTATGACAATATGAAAAACTCTACCAGTACTTACTTTTGAAATGATATTCAGGTTTGTGCGGACATTCTACATATACGAGGGATGTCCGGAAAGTTCATATACTTCTTCATTTTTTATTGTATAACAATACATACGTTGTACAAATTTTGTCAGCAAAAATATACATATCTAGCGAACACATTTATCAAAAATTACTGAATTGTGACTTACGTATGTATTTTTACAGCATTTACATACAACATATATACATCGTCATGGAGCACTTTGACAACGTCAACGGCGTCAATTTAATTTCATGTTTATCCACTATTCAATTTCATCCATTTTAAACAGCCATGGAACCTGCCTGGCGTATACTTAATACATGTTATGTTCCCTTGCTATTACTTTATGAATTTCATATACTACATTTAAAAAAAAACAACAACAAAGGTGTCACTGGTTCCCATACAGTCTGTGAGACGTCAAGGATTGTTGTAACGCAATCTGCGACATTTCGGCCATGCTACTTTTGGTCATCTGATACGTTTCTTATACAAAATACTGTCATCACCGCTTCTTAATCGTGTTTGACAATTAAACACAAGTTGCCCTTAACAATTTATGGTTCATTTTGTTTTTCAAGTAACGATTATAATCATTATTAGCGTTGCTTTGAAGTAAAATTACATTACGTTGCTCCGTCCTTGAATTTGACGTCATTTTTGCGACACAAAACTAACGCAACTTCATTGCCTATAATCGTCGTTAACAAGTTGTTTCTTTGCGTATGACGTCGTTATTTTCACTAAATATCACGCAATAGAAGCCTTTGATGTCACAACACTAAAACAAGAGTTTGCGTTAATATTACAACTTTTAGCAACTTTTTATTCGAGGAGCTATTGTCATGAAATCAAAGTGCTCCGTGATTCGTTGATCATGTTGCCATGGTATTGGCGATTTGCGAATACAACTTTTATCGTGTTTTTTAATTTAGAAATTTGTAGCAGAATATATACTTCAGCAAAATATTTAATTATCATATTAATATGACTGCTTATAATAATTTTATAGCCTTGTCTACGAACTTTCCGGACATTGTTTGTTTTGCATGTATATTTCAAAAGTGCCAGTTCAATGTTCCAAAATACTCTGCGCTAAGAAGTTGTAAATCTTTTTCAAACGATAATTCACGGCTAAACGTATTAATTGTAATTCTTAAATAATGTCTATTTTACTGACAGTCGATTTCATAATAATCATTTTGCTAGTATTCAATAGATACACTGAACACAAAAATACTAATATTAATAGTCCAAACGCGTTGCGTAGAAATAATTAAAGCTGACATAGTCGTTGTATGTGTACATATTGTAAGAAGTTCTACAATAACTTCACGTTATTTCATTATAAAGAATGAATGTGTAAAGTAAAAATATAACTAGCTTACCTCATGATTAATATTATATTATTAAAGATAAACTTAGATAAATACAAACACAATAGAACACTGGAGTACATAATCTGGTTAAGGAATGAAACGTTTATTTTCAAATGAATCAAACTTTACATTAAAAATGTCGGCGTGGTAAACCAGGATGCTTTGTTACCTTAAATATGAAATATGTAACGAAATATTTTCAATGATTTGTTTTTATGGGATCTTACTTTTGGGATTCTACTTTGTTCAACATAAAATTAAGAAATTATATCGGTCTTAGCGGTGATAATAACACCGGTTTGGAGTTTTGATGAATTGACAACGTAGGCCTGAGTGGTGATTTTTTTCGCATCTAAACGACAATGAAACTGCTGCAACTTCTCAATGGATTGAGATAGAGTCAAATGCTTTTCAGCTTTGGTTACACGTTACCTTATGATCGATCTGGTGTCATTTTTAGCCCCTCACAAGTCCAACATTTTCTCGGCGATAGGGGTGACTGCCGCCCACTTCAAACCCCCAAACAGAAGGGGACACATCCCCACTTCTGGCAACCCCCTGATGTATCTTTTGAATAGGGGGCGCGCCGAAAAAGTGGTAACTTTTTTTAAACAACATTTCTCAAACAAATGCATTTTCACCATTTGAGACAACAAAGGGGGGGGGGGGAGTTGAGAAAATGCGTTAAAAAGGCGTGTATATCGTGTAATTGGTTAACAGAAAATGACGAAAATATCTGAAATTACCCAAAATTGAGTTTTTCCATGTTTAAACATGGCCTAACATATACATTTGAAAAAAAAATGTTGTTTAGTAGATTTTTATTTTTTTTTTCATTAAAAGGCATTGTAAACTATATAATCGAGGGTGAAAACATAACAGCTGCATAAACAAGAAGTCCCTAACCAGTGTTTATTGGCAGTTTAACCCCAATTTTTTCTTCTTTGTCTTGAGTGACAAAATCACGTGGAATGTTATAGTTGTATACATACAATTTATTGTCATACAGTTCGAATGTTATAAATTACAGTAAGTTAGATGAAAAGTTATGTTGGCAAGAGTAACCAGCTTATGACTTATCTAACATGTCTTATCTAACAGTTTGTAAATAACACACACATGATTATGTTATAGCTAAGTTTACGCTGACATCTAGACAATAAACGGCAGATATTCTTTTTTCTAAGATGACATAATCGTTGTATGTAACAAAGCAATTATTGTTGTGGTTATCTACCTTTTACTAGTATGCATAAATAAAGTGAGTGTAAATCGATAGTAATAGGCTAAAATAGAAAGTTAAGTCCGTTCTATAAGTGCATAAAACAGATACATTACCAGGTTATTAATTGTGTGCTTGACATAAGTGTTTGAATATGCATCATTAGAAATATGGTTTGAAAAAGGTATTATGTACTAAATTGTAATAGTTTGGGCATAATAATAAGAAATGATGTTTGCTGCTACCAAAGTTAATGAACAATTCCATCATTTCTTATTTTCTCTTGGAATATTACCTTGTAATCCTTTTTCTATTTCGAGATTGAAAGTCTAATTTGGTTAATAAATTCCTATGGATATTTTTGTTTATAATGCTTAAATACTTCTCGCACTTAAATTTATTTTCAAAAATGATGTAAGTTGGAATACCGTTAGAATGTTTGAATCACAATTTTGTAAAAAAAAATATTTTAATCTGAATACACAATTATATAATTAATATTTATATTATCTTATTGAAGTCAGACATTTAAGCTATTTGGTTCAGCATATATATCCAATTTTAAAACATTACACTGATTTGTATTGCCATTGAATATCTCCTTATTTCTCCATAAAATGCATCTTAATGTGTTGATTTATGGAGGAGGTATTTACAGTGTACAATTTCAATATTTTACAGTCATAATATCCAAACACTTCAGCGCTATAATTTTAAATTGATCCTACTTATATATTAAACTTGAATCTTTAAATCTAGTTGGTCAAATACTGTAAAAAATGTTATTAAATACAGTTTTGAAATATATAAGCGTGCATCATAACACATTACGGAAACTAACAAAAAAACCGCTCGAAAATTAAGTCTCGAGCCGCAAGTCAATATTGCCAAACATTACGTGGTCACGATGCCATCTTACTTACATTAGGCGCGTCGTAATTATGAATTAAAGTTTTGAGATCATATACACTCATTAAAACCCTAAGCGTAAATCGTAATAATTTAAAGTGACATTATGCCCATCCAAGGGTATAAAGTGAGTGAACAGGTGAATATCAAAATAAGTTTTCATTTTACCATAATTCCTTTTAATTTAATAATTTACTTCCCATAAACAATAAATAATGCACAGATCCAAATAAAATTCTTTAAATATCTATTAGAATTTACCTCTAACGCTCAGTTTATAAAAAGAGTGGGGCAGTCTTTTTATATTTTAGGCAGATTTATAATTTTATCCTGAACATTTTCCAATATCAACTCTTGGTCAAACACCATTTTAACAGTCAATCTTTTGAAATATAAAGTCAATTCAGCTCAACTTGACTATGAAAATATGAACATAATGTCAGTTTAAGGAAACTAACAAAAACCTTTCAAAATGAGTCTCAGGTCAATATTGCAAAACAATAACGCATAAGCACATTTTGTCAATAGAAAAATTTGTTTACTAGATATTTGTCAATACAATTAAATCAAATGACTTACCAGTACTAATTGTTGTTAAAAGTTCCGAGAGGAGAAGAAACGTAAGTCGTGAAAACTCCATATCACAACTGTTCACTGTTTAAAGTTTTAAAATGTCGAAACTTGTATTCAGTGTATACAACTTTACTGAACGATTAAGGAAGTATAGAACAAGTATTATTAAGGTTAAAGATGATCTAACTGGCTTGATATTGTTTATTCATCTTTCGCATGTTTACAATAAGAAAAACTGTGTTAACACGTAAATATTGCTTAACAAATTCGGTTAAAAACTGGTTAAAATGAAACATGTAAATGTGTTAATTATTATGACAATGCAGATTGCAAAAAAATTTATATGACAAAAGTATGTCCAAAATGGGAGAATTGATTATACATAAAGACGCAATTGATCCGACGTTTTTCTACTACGGCACTTTCAAATTAATTAAACAATTTTTCCATAATCAGAAAATACATTTCATGTAACTATGGAGCGGTTTCTACCAGACTTAAAGATATCTTTAATTGACACATGTTTACTTTTGAATGCATGCACACATCCCTAAAGAATTGCATAAAATACTTCATTTTCGTCATTAATATTACAAATATTGTTACAAACATTTATCATTAAATAGTAATATTTTTAAGTTTGGATAGAATTGTTATGCATGCCTGTTTTTTTCAGCAGTTTTTAATGAGCGTTTCCAAACTATATTTCACATGAAGTTAATCGAGTAGAGAATATTCAAATGCGAATAAAATTATGTGCAATTACTTGGCAAAGCAATCAGCAACAATTGAGCTAGACAATCAACATTCAGCTCCACATTAGATATACATTTCTAAACAATGTTATGCACAAATGACTGTTGAGATAGACAATAAACACTCAGCAAGACGCTCAAATTACCAAATATGAAACTAGACAATCGAGAATTAGCAAAACATTCAATATTCGTTTTGTAACAATAAAAATTCCAAACGAATGGTGAGCTGAAGAGTTCACAATCAGCTAAACCTTCAAAATAACCAATACTAGCTAGACATTTAACATACAGCTCAAAATTGATTTAAGTTTTTTTTATATGTGACCAAAATGTTAAGGTTTACCTATATTTTCTCCATGGATTTATCAACAAAACGACCCGCCGTAAAAGTGGTAATTGATCGATTGTATGAAGAAATATTTGCCATTGTTATTGCTTAGAATTTTACTAATGTCAAGTCGTCCTAATGAGGCGAGGCTACATACATACACCTCCACACTTCGTTCCAACCTCTCTAGTGTTCAACTATATAATAAGAAGTGACACAATTTGCCTGTCGATAGCTATGGACTAAGAGGAGCATGATTTGAAAATTGATTGATTTCGTTGGTCAGCAAATGATGTTGAATATTTAAGCATCGCGTCACTGTCACTGATACTTAAACGCGTGCCAAAATTTAAATAGACCCAATACAATTGGCAACCCAAGGAAATATGTTCGTGTAAATAACAGTAACGGTATAACGCGTGCGCCAACAGCCGACAAATCGGAATAAAATATCATACGGGTAAAGAAAATGTTGAAGTTGACAGGCAGATATTTGTAAACAATTTTATTTTATACCAAGGTAATTCTTTGTTGATGACTGATTTTCTTTCACCAGAATTTAATGATAAAATATATGTGATACCAAACAAGACAAACATTTATTTTATGCTTTTCAGTGGATTACTGATTTATCTGTGAAAATTATATTTGGTAATTTCGCAGTGAAAATTATCAAAATATAATTTCACACTTTTCAATGACGAAACTACTTTTTTAAGATTTTCCCCATGTGGTACCTCAATTTTATTTTTTCTGACTATTCCGACAATGTCAGGCTGTTTAAAGAAAAGCAAAAGTGAAATTGATAAATAACTTATATGCCAAAAGTAATAAAAAGAAGAAAACTTACAGTATGTTACTTCTATTCATTCAAAATACCAATCACCAAAAATCGTCTCTTTAATTTTTTGTTTCATTTTTACAGTCTGAAAAATCTTTCCTTCCACATGCAAAACTGCTCTTGATGACATTTGGGAATATTTAAGTATCCTACGAGCAATAACTGCCGTATGCTTTATGAAAACTTGAAAAGCAATGGCAGCTTTCATTCGAAGAATATGTAAAAAACCCAGGGTTCGTAAGGCTTCCAAAGTTTCCAATTTCCTATCCACTTTTTTGAATGTTTACACATCTGTCAACACTTATTTATTGTCTGTTACAATCCTCAAATAAGTTTTCTTTCTTTTAAAAAGGTGTATGACTAAGAAATCCAAATGATATCCCTCTGAATCAAACACAATTATTTTCCTCCAGTGAAATACACAACTTTAAAAATGGCGGTCGCTTACATTTAACAAAGCAAGGTCTAATATAAATTCGCAGTCAGTAACAGAAATATGGATGGATGGTTGGACTTTTTCTCCAACTAGAATTGTTTGTTTTTATTATTTAAACAAGCGATCAGACATATTTTTTTTAATAAAATGAATACTATCACCACCATTTAACGTTGATTGTGGAACTTATTTTTCAGCCCATGACTTCTTGTATTTAATGAGAAATTCGACTTTTTTGAGGCTCTCAATGGGGAAAACAGATTTTAATATTAACTTAAATATTAAGGAAATTTCGTATTAACTTGATTTTAAGCATAAAATAAAAAGAAAATTTGTTTGTTTGTTGTGTAAGATGTAATTTTATTTCATCTCGTGAACTTTAAAAACAGTATTCTCACTCGTGGCTACGCCACTCGTGAGAATACTGTTTTTAAAGCCCATTCGATGAAATAAAATTTCATCTTACACACAAACAAACAAATATCCTCTATGTATTCATAATTCATCGATGCTCTCTGTAGTCATGGTTTTATATTTATTTAGGCACGTTATTTCTCTCGTGTTAATGTAATTATATCCATACTGAGATAATCAAAATCAATTTGAAACAAGTCGCAATTAAGCATTTACAACTAAAGTTAAGTTATTTACAGCAAACTTGGAAAGTTCATTTCATTTTCCCTGTGATTGGTCTCGCATCTTAATTTTGTTGTATGCACGAAAGGTTGTTCTCATTATGAAATTAAAAATGGGTCAAAGACAGAAAAGGCAGAGTTAAATTTGTTTACCAAATATCATGAGGCTGTGATATTACTAAAATGTTTTACCATTGACCATTGATGTTAAAAATTTAACTAAGTCGGTAATCAGGAAGTGGATGTACGAATGAACTATTGTCTCCAGCAATATGGGACCACGTATTAATGCTGTATACCAAATATCAAGAGGCTGTGATATGTAGTTGCTGAGAAAATTATTACGAAATTTCCTACCATTGATCATTATTGTTGAAAATTAAACTAAGTCTGTTAACAAGGAGTGGATGCGGGACAGACCCGAAATCGGTTCCCACGGTTCTGGACCATGTTTTAGTGCTGTATAACAATTTTCAAGAGGTTGTGATAAGTAGTTTACTAAGTCGGTAAACACTAAGTAGAAGAGCGACAGACTTGAAATCAAATCCCACATGTGCAACCCTGCCGAAAATACAAGATGTCCTTTTTGTGTTTAAATATAACTGTTTATTATCAGGGTTATTTTATATAAGGACACACAATAAATTATTTCTAAATACAACGTAAATGTGTGTGACGAAAATTTGAAACGATATATCAAGCAGATTCAGGAAGCTTACAATGTAGTGCTGCAAATTAGCCCATTTTACTAGCCTATTTAGAGGGGTAACTGGTCTATGTCAGCCAACAGCAAGTTTCATATACCAAAATGTTCGTCTGGATCTGTAGTTTCTGGAATGGATATTCATTTGGCCCAACCCGATGCGAAGCTAAGATATCTAAGATGGCGTCAAAGATGGCCGCCAAAATCTCTAAATATTCTAGTAATATTTACGTTGGCTTATTTCTTTTTTTCAGTTATGTAAATCTTTTTGAAATTTTGCATAAAATTTCTTATTTTAAACTTACTCATGCTATAAATTTTGACTTTATTGATTTTTTTCTAGTTTTCATCGCCTAATTTAAACGAAAGAAGAAAAGAAAAAATATGTTGCAAACTGGGTGTGCTTTCTGAATATGTGTAACTTATTAGTTTTATTCTTGTTTAAACTGAATAACATTCATGATTTCGTTTAATACAGCTTTAAAACTATATCTACACATATTTAGAATAAGTTAGAATAAGCGAACTATGCCGTAAATGTGTTTTATTGATCTAAATTCATATACAAAGTGGGTGGGGTATTACGAACGGGAAGTCAACTTTAAATTAAATACTTTTTTGTTTTATATTATAATAGTGGTATTAAAAATATTAACAATTTTATTTAATTGGTTAGTGATGAGACATCTTACCTTTCATAGAAAATGTCCTGCATGTGTGTCTAAATGTTGAAATATCTCTTTTATTTGTTTTATGCACACAATAAGGAACTAATTTACTGACCTGCAATTCTGTATTTGCGTTGACCTTGTGCTTGCCTTTTGTTAAGGATTTGTTTGCAAGTTTGTTTCTCCTTAGCCATAAACATTCATTGTTAGTCTTCAAATGTGATTTTGATTATACTTGTAGGTCACTGTTCAAGACCCATAAGCTAAGCATTTAGTAGGAAATAATAATATCTATTTATTAACTTACAAAATTTTTCGGACAAGATTAATCTCCACAACCATCATTATTGTAGGTTACTTCCCTCTAACATGTTTTTATTTCAAAGAGATATACTACTTTATGAATAAGAGAATTTCTTTATTATGCAGGCTGTTGATTTTAAATATTATACCACGTACTCAGATAATTTCAAAATTCCATCGACATATCGCTTTGAGACCTTGCAAACTTGTTCACCATCATAATTTCAACCTGTGTACAGAGGAGGTTACTGTATCAAGCTTTTTTTACATTATTATGTCCCATTTTTTTTTACTATCAAGCACTGAGAATAGTCGAGCATGCTGTCCTACTGACAGCTCCTGTGTATGATTTTGAGCATTTTGTTTCAAGTTTGTTGTTAACTTCATGGGAGGAATTAAGAAGAGCTTTCACTTGGACGAAAATAGCTAATCTTTTGCCTGGCGGGTACTTGATAGTAATACTATGTGCTAGGGGGCGCAGGGTAACATGCACTTTCCAGTACCGTCCATGAACAGGCTCAATCAAACCGAGTCTGCAACAGCAGGTTAACAGTGTTATATTAATAGGCCCTTCGGGATGGTGATGTTTGTGTCGGTAGTTTTCAATCCGGATCACGGCAGTAACCACATTGAATTTACCAGAGCACAGTTCAGCCACCGAATCGTTCCTGGGCAGGCTGTCAAGCAGTTTACCAGTTCTAGTTGCCCTCACTTTCGCAAGGAACTGAAACTTCTGTACATAGCAGAGCAGTGGTACAGTGCGAATAATCGTAGAAACTATTTCATGATCAATCACAACGAAAGTGACCTGCCCCGTCCGGGAATCAAACACGGGTTGCCCGATTCACAGTCCAACGCTCTACCTATTGAGCTAACCGGACGACTTGGTCTTTCGGGATCATTGATTGCAAAACTTTTATGGTTGAGGATTGGATACTACTTAGTCGGTACTAAGAGACTTGAGATATGGTGTCTCATGAACAGACTCCATCAAACTGAGTTTGAAATATCAACTTTGCCATGTTTAATTGCTTTCAAAGGATCTTCTCTTTACCTGATGTTTACAATCATAATGTCAATGACATGTTAGTTTACTTTATTTACTTTTATTTTGTTACTAGAGGGATTTTATGTTCTCTCCTATTTCACAACCGGAAGCTATACGTTGCATTAAATAGCACTTACCGCTACCTAGATGATATCCTTAACATGAATAATCAAATTTGATCAAGTGAGATCTTAAATATATCTAAGTAAACGTAAACAAGGCTATCGCTATCATAAATTACGTAAATATTTTACAAAGTCCTGTTGTCGTAATTCAGATATATTTAAAATTTAATTGTACTTTGTCTAGGTATAAGCAGGCCTTATTTATGTGGAGATGACAGCTTATCTGTGGCATGCAGGCTTCATAACCTCTGATCCCCTTTCAAAGTTCCATTTTATTTAGTTCCGCTCGTTGTTTTCTTGTCTAGGACACACACATTCTCGTACTTGGGGACCATACGCCGCTTTTTATGGAATGACACTAACGTGTTCCATGATAACCACATTATAAGCGCGTCTGCTGTTGTTTCTAAATCCAAAAGTTCACCGTAACCATGATTAAATGTTGAATTCTGCATAATTCGGTGCTAGGGGGCGTGTACTGTAGTTTGCATTTGACAGTGCCGTTCATGAACAGGCTCAATCAAACCGAGACTGCAACATTTTTGTTTTTGACGTTTTGTGCGTTCTAAATTGTTTTAATTTCGTCTTCTTCTGTCTTGGTAAGTGATGTTCTTGTTGCTCTGCCTTCCTTTAAGGCATCGAGTACTTTGGTTATGGTAATTGGGCTGTACCTTAATTGTACATATTTACACGATCATGTATGTATTTTATTTATTTTGTCTAATGTAACCATGCCAATTGTTAGAATTTTACTTGGTGGGGATTTATTTTATTTACACTGTTTCGTCATATAGGAACATACCGGTAGTGGTAATTGCAAGTTACCTACCATTTACACCTTATAGCACCGGCTCAAGCAAAATTCTAAATTTTCAACTGGTACACTTTTAAAAGAAGTGGAGACACGTCCACAGATGTATTCCTACGAAAGTGATCATGGTATCTTCAATGTAAAATGTTCGTGCAATTTCACGACATACAACATATTGTCCACAAGAAATAGAGAACAATGGGCGAAACTAAATAAAATGGATTTATATAACGTGATCAAAGGTCAAAATATAATCTTTAAAAGCAGGGACTTATTATACACTATTTATCCAAAGGGTTATTATACACTATTTAAAAGAAATACTACAACCACACAACTCGAAAAAGGTCAAATAGAAGGGATTAAAATAGCACAAACACAATTATAATGCCAAGAACGATTTTCATATAAACATTATGTTTTATCCGACTACTATGCATGTTTCATGAAACCGAAGGTCAACAGAGTAATGATCTGTGTAGATAAAATATTAAACTTTTTAAATGACTATTTTGTCAATTTAAGAAACTTTAAAAAAATAAATTACATTTCATTTGACATAAAAAGGTGTGTAACATATAAATAAATGAGCAGAGGTTGTTTTTCATACATTGTACTTTTTCAAATCCTTAGGTGAACTTACAACAAAATCATGCTTATTAAATTGGTAACACATTTTTGAATCTGACAGGATACCTGTAATAGTATCACACTTTGAAAATCACCTTATGTTTATTAACTTATGTAAATATTGTCATTCCATATAATCAGTTTAATCTAGGGGTCAGAGTTTCTTATAGTGGGTGGGGTACGATTTGAACAATAATTCATTAAATAACCAGAAGCAAATTGTCATATTCCTTGTTTATTATGTTAATCAGTTACATGGACTGCACTAAAGAAGCTATAATTTGACAGAAACACAAAATTTGGGGAAATATTTGATATAGAACAAATAAGTACCAGTTACAACCTTACATTGAAAAACTATTTTAATGTACCGTCTCTCATTTAACATGTCTTACTGCATAATTACAAAGAAAGATTTCATAAGATATGATATGAATGCATTAAAGCATTACTCTCATGAATACATTACAATAGTGGAATAACAAAATAAGTAATAAATATTTCTCTGTTTAAGCTATGACAAGAGTATCATAGCAAAAACCCATAAGTTTAGCATTATCTTGCTTAATTACGTATAAAAAAAAGCAAAAAGCAATCTGTTTTCTCAAATGAAATTAAATCTCTTCGTATAAAACGCTTTAAATGATATCTTCCTTGCAAAAATTTCACTTGAAATACAAATGCAGGAACAAATATAAGCAAATATTAATATTCTAGATTATTTAGGGATTTGGCGGCCATCTTTGACGCCATCTTGGATTTTTAAGCTACGCATCGGACTTGAACCAAATGAATATTCATTCCGGAAACTACAGACCAAGACGAACAATTTTGTATATAAAACTTGCTGTTGGCTGACATAGACCACTTCGGTGTCATTTTACCCTATGAATTTGCAGCACTAATAACCGTTTCCTTAGCTTGGTTGTACTTGAAAATACAGAAAACAGTTTCAGCAAAGTCAATAAAAAATTTCGGATTTTTTTAAACAGTAAAAACTAAGTATCACAACTGACCATAATTAATCAGACCATTTTGATGATATGAAGAATGAATCAGAATTTACACTTTCGAAATGTGGTTCATGAAGAAAGCAGTTTATATAGCATGTTCGCTATATATAGTTTTGTTTATAAAATATTATTTGCTTATATTGGTTTTATAACAAACCTCTGATATAGATAAAAAAAAACTCAAAGTTCCCGACGAGTTCGCTATAACCGAGTACCACTGCATCAACTTGAAGATGTATTTACTCAATCGTAAGCTTGAAAAAAATGTTACCAAACCGGAACGAGTTGCGTTTTTATAGATTCTTTTTAATTGTGTTGGATACTTACTTGTAAGCCCTTAAATGTAAATATTGTAAAAGGAGAGCACATCCTAAATTATGGAAATCATACTACACATAGATAAAGCGTTTGAATTACAAGTATGCTTTTAGATCCAAAATAAACGTTACAAATTTCATGACCTTATACAGCGTACTATGGCAGATAACATAATTTTCGAACTTAGTTATTTATATATTTGTTTAAACATCATGATCCATGATAGTCATATCTGATAACTTACTCAGACGTGAACAGTTGAATTGGATGGTTTGTTAAAATGGTGGGACCTAAGATAATATTTGTATTTATAACTGGATGTGTAACCTGTTTGACTGCAGGTAAATTGTCTTAAAAATATATCATATATCCATGAATTATCTATTTTAGGTGTTTTTTTTCTCTTATATATACAGCTTTCAAGCTAAATAATATGTTTTGATTTCAATAAAAACATTTTAAAATGAAGTTATCATTTTATTTATAATAGGGCTGGGAACGAATAAGAAAATTCATGTTCGAATATTCGTTTTCCATATTCGAATATATTCGAATATTCGTTTTTACAACGTTTGTTCCAATATTTCTCTTTGACGTACACGTATCCGAAATTGATTGCGTCGAATACTATACTACTTTAATATGCTTGAAATAATCGACGATTGAAAATTCCCTTTTTACTACGTAAAAGTTTTTTTATTTTTTATATTGTAAATCGTCAAATATGTTTACTTCTGAAATAAAGTCATAATTTGATTGCCTTTGGTTCAGTAAATCCGACTTCTGATTATTTGTCTTATTAACGGGTGGTAACTCACGTGATTCAATTGACAGTGTAGCCTCAGCCCCAAAAACAAATAATTATATTGAAACTTAACTTGTATTAAATATTTGTTTTTATTTATTATAATTTAAGATAAGGTTTAAAATATTATGCAGATAAATTTAGCTATAACGCAGGTTATCACACGGAGTCTAATTTCTACGGAATAAATATATTCTGACGGAATATAGACACTTGGCATGCTTTCATAAAACACCGATTAATGCGTGTCGATTTTTTCGTCTTCACAAAATTTAGGACATTTATCGATTATTCGGAAAGATTAGGCCTAGCACAGAAAGCATTAAATAAGTTTATTAAAATCGGAAAGAATTACATTATAAACTGTTTAACTGGTAAATTCCAAACTGTGAAACGGGTGCCCTTTTGATCAACTGGACCCCAAAGTTTTTACAGTTAATTGGCGATACACACGTCATACAAACGTGTGAACACCTGGTCAAGTAAAGGTCAATGGTTATTTTGCCGTGTTGGGCTTTCTTTAGGGATTCTGTATTTATCTATTTTATGATCACATCCGTGTTATTTGTGCCGTGTGGCGGCTGTAAAAAGTCTCCCCGTACATTTAATCAATGATGTTATATTTTCGATCCTTGAAGATCGTTCAGCACGACATTATTGTTGTGCTTGTAGTATTTTTAGTTTCAACTTTTCGGCATTTTCTAGTTGGGTGGTTCCAATATTCCTACTTGAATAATGTTGAATCACCCCTAGGATATGTTGCCTGCTTTTTAAATTTGTCTTTTGACGTCTTATCTGTGATACGCAGGCTTCATAACCTCTGATCCCCTTTCAAAATTCCATTTTATTTAGTTCTGCCCATTGTTTTCTCGTTTAGGGCACACGCTTTTTATTACTTGGGGACCATACGCCGCTTTTCATGGAATGGCACGGAAGTGTCACATTGAAGGTTCCATGATAACCGCCGTATGAACACATCTGCGGATGTTTCTAAATTCAAAATTTTACTATTTCATGTTTAAATGTTGAATTCTGCTTAAGCCGGTGCTAGGGGGCGTGGACGGTAACTTGCACTTTCCAGTACCGTCCATGAACAGGCTCAATCAAACCGAGCCTGCAACATTTTCAATTTTGCCGTGTTGGGCTTTCTTTAGGGATTCTGTATTTATCTATTTTAATTTACGATCTTAATTGAAATTTGAAAGTAATAACAAAAAAAAATCTTTTAAAATCTTTTTGTTTTTGTCGAATATTCGTATTCGTGTTTCAATGTTCGAATATTAGGTAGTGTTTCGAATATTCGAATATAATTCCCGGCCCTAATTTATAACAATACTCATTTATGCGATCGCTTTTTGACCTTACAGTTTGAAATAAAATCTATTGGAGAAAACAAGTGTATATTTTTAGCTCACCTTGCAGAAAGTGCAGGTGAGCTTTTAGGATGGCCAACCAAATGGCGTCCGTCGTCCGTTGTCCGTCCACATTTTAAATATTCTCAGGACATCTTCTATGATACTGCAAGGCCAATGTTAATGAAACTTGGCAGGAATACTCTTTGTATGAAGCTCTATCAAGATTGTTCAAAGAATTCCATTTCATGCTAAACTCTGGTTGCTATGTCAACTAAAAGAAAAAAATTAAAAGGTCTTATACTTCAAAATGGAAAGGGCTAGAGCTTAGATATTTCTCACAAGGCATAAGCTTGTTGGATTCTACAAAATATATTAAAATTATGGTCTAGAGTTGAAAATTGGTCTCTGTTTTGGGGGTTAAAGGGTTTTTTTTATTGCAAGATTGTATAGACTGTCTTTGTAGGGATAAATTGAAAAAGTGTATCTTGTATTTTTTGTCTCAACAGACATTGTTATGAGGATTTTTCTGTTAAAGCATTAGAAAGATGAAAATGTTGTTGGATGTGAATGTTAATTCAAAACAAAGTCAATCAGAATAGCCCAAATTTCAGAGCTAAAGTGAAGTTGATCCCTATGCAATTATAGATTCTTCCATTAATTTCGTAATACCATCAGAAAGGAGACTGTGTCATTTCCGAAATAAAATGTAATATATTTTGGTTCTTGACATTGACTTGCACATATTATTGTGTAAGATATTGCACAAAGAAACGAAAGTAAACAAAAATGTTGTATTTTTTCACAAAAAAGCTGATTAAGATAAAAGTTTAATTTACAGTACGGATATTACTTAAATTCTTCCTTCCGGTTTGCGGGATTCAACATTGTGTACGCTGGTTTTACAGAATCTGCTGAACGATTTTAATAATGTCATTATATTTCATTCTGATCATAAACATACAATTCAAATCACTAAATAATGCATATCAATCAGTCTTGAGTCAACATTTTTGTCCAGAAAACATCTGTATCAATCTGACCTATTTACAAAACTAACCGACCGGAAGTAGGACGAAATGGCGGCCTTGAACAAGGAAATTGAGAAATTTTGTAACATAAAATCGTATTTCAAAACAAAGAAGTGAAGATGAATACAATTATCGGTGGGCTACGTTGAAACAGGTATTTTGTTAACAATCTGTGAAGTATTAAGGGATGACATTTAGTATTTATGTAAATATTACCTCCCGTGATATGATTTCTAAAATTTTATATGTTTGACGGAATTCCGTATTTTCGGCGATCTCCGAGGTCATTTTTCTGCATGACTTAAATCCGATGAGAAATCGGGAAGGGTGTGTGTGGATGCCTCATTAATTAGCGTGTGCACATTGCTTGATAATGCTTGATATATTATTTTAAATAAATTTGTCCCACGGTGCATGTCCATATCGGTACCCTCTTTGCGAAATCTGCTCAAACGGTACCCTCTCTAATATGTATATGAACATATTAAATATGTATGATGCATATATAATCAAGCCACAGGTTCATTTCAGCCCGAAAAATATGTCGAGGTGATGGGCGAAGCAAGACGATTTCTTGTAGCTTATTGTGAAGCTGCAGTACATGAAAATCGGGCACATGACAAATCAGCACATAAATAAAACATTCTAGTGTTCCGTGGAATACATCTTTTCTACGTGTCATACCTCTTTTCCTTATTACAATGAAATTTTACTGTATTGTTATCCATCGCTAATTTGTTTTTAGCAGAGAATGACCTGTGCATGTTCAGAGAGGGTACCGTTTGAGCAGATTTCGCAAAGAGGGTACCGATATGGATATGCACCGTGTGTCCGTCTCATACCTGTTTGCACAAAATGGGAAATATACGAATCAAAACAATTACAATACGGAGATTGCCGATGAAAAATTGAGCTAGTTAAATTTATACAAGATCAGATTTGATTGGTCGTCGTTATTTTTACCTGCCAATGAAATCGTTTGTTGCATAGTCATTTGATGTCAAAATACATACATGTACAAATACAATGACAATAACAGTGAAGTGTTAATACTAACGATCTAAAAAAAGGTGCAAAAAACAAATGGAGGTAGAAGTGGTTAGCGGAAAACGACTTTAAAGGTGCAAAATGGGATGCTTGGTTGAAGAAACCAAATGCAATGGGCTTTTGTGAAGTCTGTTCCAAAACAATCAACTACACAAATTCGAACAGAAAAAAGGTGCTTCTTAATCACGATGAGCTGAAGATGAGGACCACTAAAAGAATCTTAGACCAAGTAAGATCATTTGTCTGTGTAGTTTAGCCACTATCTAGTGTTAGCAACGAAAAGAGGTTTAGTTGTGCATTGTGTAGTTAATAAACAATGCACATTACCCCACCCTCTTTTTCTTCTGTCTTGCCCCAACTTTCATGTGGTCTGGGCAAGGGTTGTTGGGCAAATTAAAAAATGGCCTTGTGCAGGGGAACCTATGCCCAAATTTTTAATAGGTCTGGACTTGTAATTTTTTTCACCACTTGAATAATAGATTTTTTTTCCATCTGAATATTATTTTAAGGATTAGAACACGATTTTCTTTATCTATGTTTTTTTAGTTTGATTATCTTCTTGTTTCAAAACTAAATTGACAATAATGAGTGTGATATTTTATTTGATATGTTTTCATACATCTTTTATTTGAAAATTGTCTTTTTCATGTACTGCCAGGCTCATCGAAAGCTGTGCACAAAAAGATTGAAAGTATGCAAGACCGCATTGCCAAACAAAGAGCAATCACAACTGCCTTTCTTAGTGAACATTGTCTGCCATTTTCCATAGCAGGCGATCTCTAATCTAACATCTTGCCAAACGTTTAGCTGAAGACAAGCCTGCTCTTGAAAAAACTACTCTTTCTCCAACCAGTGCAATGTACATTATTATTATAAACAACACATGGTGTAGCCAAATCTGTAGGATGGAGTGAAGTCAAACGTGAAAGATAAGTTAATATCTTTGAATATGTATGGGGCAACTAACAAAAAACAATAACAAAGTACTGAATATAATCTTTCAGTACTTTGATGATAAAACTAGTCAAGAGTTAATGGATCATTTAGGACTGAGAGAATTCAAAATGTTTCCACATCTGAAGAAATTGTCAAGTCAGTTGAGAGTG